GGTGCCAAGGGTAGTAGTTTCTGCAGAAGTGGGTGATGCAGAAGTTGTTTCCAGGGCAGGACTTTCTACAGAAGAGGTGCCCAGGGTAGTAGTTTCTACAGAAGTGGCTTCAAGGGTAGTAGTTTCTGCAGAAGTGGTGGCAAGGGCAGAGGTTTCTGCAGAAGTGGGTCCTGCATATGTGGTTTCCACGACAGTAGTTTCTACAGAAGTGGTGCCAAGAGTAGTAGTTTCTGCAGAAGAGGTGCCAAGGGTACTAGTTTCTGCAGAAGTGGTGCCCAAAGTGATATATTCTACAGAGGTTGTACCAAGGGTACTAGTTTCTGCAGAGGTTATGCCCAGGGTACTAGTTTCTACAGATGTGGTGCCAAAGATACTAGATTCTGCAGAAGTGGTTCCCAGTGTAGTACTTTCTACAGAAGAGGTGTCAAGGGTAGTAGTTTCTGCAGAAGTTGTGCCCGGGGTAGTAGTTACTGCAGAAGTTGTGCCCGGGGTAGTAGTTTCTGTAGAAGTGGGTCCTGCAGAAGTGGTTCCCAGTGTAGTACTTTCTAGAGAAGAGGTGTCAAGGGTAGTAGTTTCTGCAGAAGTTGTGCCCGGGGTAGTAGTCTCTGTAGAAGTGGGTCCTGCAGAAGTGGTTTCCAGGGTACTAGTTTCTACAGATGTCGTGCCAAGGGTACTAGTTTCCACAGAAGTGGTTCCCAGTGTAGTACTTTTTACAGAAGAGGTGCCAAGGGTAGTAGTTTCTGCAAAAGTTGTGCCCGGGGTAGTAGTTTCCACAGATGTCGTGCCAAGGGTACTGGTTTCTACAGAAGTGGTGCCCAGATTTGTAGATTCTACAGAAAAAGTGCCAAGGGTATTAGCTTCTGCAGAAGTGGGTCCTGCAGATCTGGTTTCCAGGGTAGTAGTTTCTACAGATGTGGTGCCAAAGGTACTAGATTCTGCAGAAGTGTTTCCCAGTGTAGCAGTTTCTACAGAAGTGGTGCCAAGGGCAATAGTTTCTGAGGAAGTGGGTCCTGCAGATGTGGTTTCCGGGGTAGTAGTTTTTACAGAAGTGGTGCCAAGGGTAGTAGTTTCTGCAGACGTTGTGCCAAGGGTACTAGTTTCTGCAGAAGTGATGCCCAGAGTGGTAGATTCAACAGAAGTGGAACTAAGGGTGCTAGATTCTGCAGAAGTGGTTCCCAGTTTAGTACTTTCTACAGAAGAGGTGCCAAGGGTAGTAGCTTTTGCAGAAGTGGTTCCCAGGGTAGTTGTTTCAACAGAAGTGGCGTCAAAGGTAGTAGTTTCTGCAGAAGTGGGTCCCGCAGAAGTGGTTCCCATGGTACTTGTTTCTACAGAAGTGGTGCCAAAGGTAGTAGTTTCTGCAGAAGTGGGTCCCGCAGAAGTGGTTCCCATGGTACTTGTTTCTACAGAAGTGGTGCCAAAGGTAGTAGTTTCTGCAGAAGTGGGTCCTGCAGAAGTGGTTCCCATGGTACTTGTTTCTACAGAAGTGGTGCCAAGGGTAGTAGTTTCTACAGAAGTGGTGCCAAGGGTAGTAATTTCAGCAGAAGTTGTGCCCAGGGTAGTAATTTCTGCAGAAGTGGTGTCCAGAGTCGTAGATTCAACAGAAGTTGTTCTAAGGGTATTAGTTTTTTCAGAAGTGGGTCCTGCAGAAGTGGTTCCCAGGGTAGTAATTTGAATAGACGTGGTACCAAGGGTAGAAGTTTCTACAGAAGTGGAAGTTTGTGCCATTGTGGTTTCTACTGCAGATGTTAAGCCATGCGTAGTTATTGCGGAGTGTGATTTAGCAGTTGTCATTTCAAATGTGGTTGTTTCCAATACCAGATCTGTTAAAGTGACCAAATCTGTAGTTTCTGCAGAAGTGGTGCCCAGAGTTGTAGATTCTACAGAACTGGTGCCTAAGATAGCAGTTTCTTCAGAAGTCGTGTCCAGGGTAGTAATTTCTGCAGAAGTGGTTCGAAGGACAGTAGTTTCTACAGAAGTGGTGCCAAGTTTAGCAGTTTCTGCAGAAGTGGTACCTAGGGTAGTAGTTTCTTCAGAAGTGGGCCCTGCAGTAGTGATTGCAAGGGTACTGGTTTCTGCAGAATCGGTACCCAGAGTTGTAGATTCTACAGAGTAGGTGCCAAGGGTAGCAGCGTCTGCAGAAGTGGTTCCCAGGGTTGTTTCTGCAGAACTCAAAGAAGTCAATGGTATATCAAAGTAAATTATTGTGCTATTCAATGTAGTATGTTCTGTATGTGTGGGAGTGCTTGATGAAAGTGTTCTTTGGGTTGTTTCAGGAGTTTCTTCAAATTCCTCACAAGGAAGAGTGGGTATGGCATCAAAGTCTGAAAGATCAAAATCTGTCCCAAACTCTACATCAGCAACAGCAGGAGTTGCAGTTTCGGTGATTCTGCCTGGTTGTGTAGACACACTGGAGGCTTCTACTTTTATGGTTGTACCAAGAGTTATATCAGCTGGCCTGAAGGGAACTGTGTTTGTTCTTGTTGTGGAGTCCGGATATGAAGGTGTGCTAGATGGAAGTATCCTTGGGGTTGTTTTATGGGTTTCTTCAAATTCCCCACAAGGAAGAGTGGGCAAGACATCAAAGTCTGAAAGGTCAAAGTCTGTCCCAAACTCTATATCGGCAACAATAGCTGTAGTTTTGGTGATTCTTCCTGGTTGTGTATACACACTGGAGGCTTCTGCTTTTTCGGTTGTACCAAGAATTATATCAGCTGGCCTGAAGGGAACGGTGTTTGTCCTTGTTGTGGGGTCTGGATATGAAGTAGAGTTAGATGGAAGTATCCTTGGGGTCGTGTTAGGGGTTTCTTCGAATTCTCCACGAGGAAGTGTGAGTATGACATCAAAGTTTGAAAGATCAAAATCTGTCCCAAACTCTACATCAGCAACAGCAGGAGTTGCAGTTTCGGTGATTCTGCCTGGTTGTGTAGACACACTGGAGGCTTCTACTTTTATGGTTGTACCAAGAGTTATATCAGCTGGCCTGAAGGGAACCATGTTTGTTCTTGTTGTGGAGTCCGGATATGAAGGTGTGCTGGATGGAAGTATCCTTGGGGTTGTTTTATAGGTTTCTTCAAATTCCCCACAAGGAAGAGTGGGCAAGACATCAAAGTCTGAAAGGTCAAAGTCTGTCCCAAACTCTATATCGGCAACAGTAGTTGTAGTTTTGGTGATTCTTTCTGGTTGTGTAGACACACTGGAGGCTTCT